TAATGTCAGTTCTTTGCTTAGGCTGCATCTCATCAGTGCACATAATCACAGTGTACAACCAATGGTGGAACAGTACCTACAGGAAAGAGAAGGGCAGAAAGAAATAGGGGAAAGAACAGCAGATATCAGATTTCGCAGTAGCCAAATGAATGTATGTTGCAGGATTTGCTTCGGAAGAACCTTGGGAACCCTGCCAAGAGATAACGCTCAGAGGGTGTATGACTGAGTAGGAATACAATATGAAACTATTTAGAAATGCTTTTTGGCATAATGCCTTTTTGTCTAAACTGCATAAATATCAATCCCCTCCAAATAAAGAAGCAGAATCATCTGTCTATGTTAAATGATTTCTCTGAGCGTGTAAAAAGTATGCATGCTAATTTGGAGCCTTAAAAGGACACTATAGTCACCAGATCAACTACAGCTTAACCCCTTAAGTACACATTGTGATCAAAACAAAATGTAAACAAAAACTTGAATTTGCGCTATATGTCTGTTCAGGCGTAATTCGCCTCTTTCATATTATGTGCACCCATACTTATTATATATCATTATTCTGGGGGGAAAGGGCATTCATTTATCATCAAAGATTTAGGTATAAAACATAATTTAATATGAATAAAATATTTAAAAAATTGGGGAAAATAAGAATTTTTAAAAACTTTTTAGTTCTACGTGACATTCTAACTGTGAATGTCATAATACTGTTTGTTTTTACTGCAATAAAATACACATATTTGTATTCCGCAATGTCTCACGTGTAAAACAGTACCCCCTGTGTACAGGTTTTATGGTGTTTTGAGAAGTTACAGGGTCAAATATAGCGTGTTACATTTTTCTTTTTTTTCACATTGAAATTCGCCAGATTGGTTACGTTGCATTTGAGACCGTATGGTAGCCCAGGAATAAGAATTACCCCCATGATGGCATATCATTTGCAAAAGCAGACAACCCAAGGTATTGCAAATGGTGTATGACCAGTGTTTTTTAGTAGCCACTTGGTCACAAACACTGGCCAAAGCTAGTTCTAATATTTGAAAATGCAAAAAACTAATTTGAACGCCAATTTTGGCCAGTGTTTGTAACTAAGTGGCTACTAAAAAAGACTACACATACCCCATTTGCAATACCTTGGGTTGTCTACTATTTAAAATGGTATGCCATCATGGGGCTATTTTTCATTCCTGGGCTACCCTATGGTCTGAAAGGCAACACAACCAACCTGGCGAATTTCAACGTGAAAAAACTGAAACGCAAGCCTTATATTTGACTCAGTAACTTTTGAAAACACCATAAAACCTCTACATGAGGGGTACTGTTATACTCGGGAGACTTCGCTGAACACAAATATTAGTGTTTCAAAACAGTAAAACGTATCACAATAATTATATCATCAGTGTAAGTGCCATTTGTGTGTGAAAAATGCTACAAATTTCACTTTCACTGACGATATCATAGTGTACTTTGATAGGAATATATATATATATATAATTATATTTATATTAATTTTAAAATACACTTACTTACATGTATGTCTATTTATGTGTATGTGTGTATATATATATATATATATATACTTAGATCATAGCTTATATACTTAGATCACACTTAGAAGCAACACTTAGGTGAAGCAACCAAGCATCAATATATAATAAATATATATATGATCTATGTATATATAATTTAATTTTACACTCTTTTAAACCATTTTTTATTTTTTTTCAGACGGCAGGGGGAAGCTAATGTCAGTTCTTTGCTGTCATAACAGGCACTCGCCCTGCTGGCAAAGCCTTGGACGGCTATGTCGTCCATGTGATTGTGAGGTCCTTGCAAGGACCTCGCGATCACATGGCCTAGAGGGGCCAAAGAGGAAGCAGGGGGACTCCCTGGGCTCCTGTGGGATCGCCGGCAACCGGGTAAGTACATAGGACGTCTGGGACGTTCAATGCCGCCCTCCGGTGTTTAGAGCTGGGTCCCTAAGGACGGCATAGAACGTCCGCCGTTCTTAAGGGGTTAATGTAGTTGTTCTGGTGAGTATAATCATTATATGCAGGCATTTACATGCAAACACTGCCTTTTCAGAGAAAAAAATAAAAAGTTACGGATAATCCATTCATTATAAAAAAAATTTTTTTAAATCATTCAGTCATGTCATTGTACTCATTTAAGTTGTATTATACATTTGTAAACTCAAGGCATGGAAATCTTGAGATTTGAGAAGAGAGACCCATGATAACCAATGCCTGACAACCTTGTCTGTTTCTGTCTTGGAGTAAGGCAACCATTAAAGTAACACTGTACACACTATAATTGCTTTATTTAATCGTGTAGTGGTTATAGTATCTGGAGTCCACTGGTGCTGTCCTTCCATTCAGTGTTAAATTTATAATGCTAAACGCGTGTCCCTAAGTAACTTATCCTTTCTGTGTTGTTTGGGCTAATGAAAGCACATTAGCCTGAGCTACAATGGGCTGCAGTGATTGGCTGAGAGTGCCAGGTGACAGCCTTTCACAGCGCCCATTGCAGCTATGAGTTGATATGGCTACAAAGAAATGTGTAATCTCTGACAAAACCACACTGCTGTGGCTACAGCTAGAGCTCTCAGGCTAATAGCAGGCCCTAGACAAAACCGATTACTCAGGAAAGCTAATGGAAGCTCTGTGGTAGTGGGTTGTCAAGCCATTAGCTACTTACATTTAGGCTATCAGAGCACTCTTAGTACCATAACCACTACCAGACTCACATTTGCATTCCATAGTCTGTCATCAAATGCTGTTTTTTATCTTAAAAACTTTGCCTGCATCCTCCCCTTTCTACCAAGGAGCATTGCATGGATTACATAACTCTCTCCTATTTGACATCTCCAGAAGCCATGATGTCCATAATTTGGTGGTACATTCTCAACTTCATGGTTGTATCCCACTATCCTAATTATGTTCCTTGGTGTCCCACTCTCAGGAGCACCAGGAAAGTGTCTCCTAAAAGCGTAGTATAAGAGCATCATTAGATGCTCTCGTACTGTGCTCAGTATACTAGGACTGGAAAAAAAGCACTAAAGCATACTCCCTGCATAGTCCTCCCTTGGTGGGCCGGCCTGTTTGATTAGACGGCAGCCTTGCATGCCTACACGCAAGGCGACCTGCCTGTTCTCTGCGCGGACCATCCCCCTATCTTGTTAATTCTGCCACTTTAAATGGTGCCAGTGACATGATTCATGTCAGTAACCTGCCCCCTTTTATCAGACCCAACTGCCTCCAGCTTCATAGGACACTGATGTTGGGGAAGTATGACCATCAGACTTTCTCCTAGTCGTCAGTCCTTTAAGAAGCAAGCCTATAGCCTCCTTGAGTAATTCTCATTCGTAAAGCGATTTGCCCCTTTCTATTAACATAGTTATGGGAACTAGAATAGTTATAGTAATACTAAGCAAATATTTGAGAGCTTCAAGTAAGCTACTTCTACGGGGGCTGCCATTTGTCCTATTTTAACCACATATTATTCCTGGATACTACACTATAAGGCTGTGTTTCAATTTTTTTTTTTTAACATTAACCCTTGATATGCTTATACATGTGAAATGCTACTTCACCGCCATATATTTCCCTGTATGTCCCGTTTCAAATTCTCCTTCAATACTCTATATACATGAGGGTGAAGAATCGAACTTAGAATCCATTATTATAGACTACTTACCTTTTTGTTTAACCCCTTAAGGTCACATGACATGTGTGACATGTCATGATTCCCTTTTATTCCAGAAGTTTGGTCCTTAAGGGGTTAAAATAGAATAAAAGATGTAGGTGTGCAGATAAACCTTTTTAACCTTTACACAAGTGTCAGTGCAAAAGAAGTGACAATGTATCTGGAATTTCCAGAGATATATACTTAAAGTTTATTAGTGAGGAAAAGGTTATGACAATGCCACACTGTTCAAGAGTGCAAAATCATATTCAATAAAACAAAATTGTATACTGTAACTCTCCTTATGAAGCAGGTCTCAAAATCTATAATACATAAATAAAGACACAGACCTAGTGCAATATAGCCAGTAATAGAATATAAAAATGTGGTGCTGAAAAGAAATACACTCACAATTATGGAGTGGTTGTAGTACCACTCCAGACTATCAAGCACAGGGTGGATCAGACCCTAGAGATTGTTGGATCCTAATACGGGTTGTAGTATGCACTCACTGCTAGCCGAAAACTTCAGATTAAGGACTTTATTATTCACAAATTCAGTGCTATTAAAAAACAGAATCTCCTTGCACTCGGAGCACATAGAGCAAACCAACGTCCTGGTTACAAAACGAGCGTCCTCTCTGTATTCTTAGGTTGGTCTCAGTCTCTCCACATGTGCAGGGACTTCCGGATTTGGCGTGTAGCTACGCGTTTCACCCCGCCTCTTGGGGCTTTCTCAAGCATACGAGTCCTTCCGCGGCATCCTTTTGTATGTTGTAGCAGTGACAGAACGTCACGCCTTTTAAAGTGCCCATGCCCAAAAGTTAAAACCATGCTCTTGCTAGGTTATAAAAAAACAAAAAAAAACCAAACGTTCATAACAGGTCTTTAACCCCTTAAGGACCAAACTTCTTGAATAAAAGGGAATCATGACATGTCACACGTCATGTGTCCTTAAGAGGTTAAAATACATGCATATTAGTCCCAATAAATCAATAATCATATAGGGAAAAAAGATAAGACATGATAAATATTAAGAGGAATATATTAAAATACAGTTTCTATGGACAGAATAATAATTCAACAACATTTATGAATAATCACATTATCCTAATAAAAGCAGTCCCACTGTGACTGTGCAACTAATCATATGTGTAATAAAAACACCCAGTAGACCATAAAAATACAAATCATAAAATTCAAGTTTGAAAAAATTAAATGTTAAAAAAATTATATAAAAAAAATAGTAAAAAAAAATGGGGCATATCTCCTAAGACATTAATATTAGAAATAAAATATTCAAATTATTACTTTTATGCCCTTACACTAGGGAATATGATATTTGAGGAGATAAAAGTAAAAATCCTTACTAGACACCCTGTTCCAAGTTATTATGCAAATTCTATTTAAGTGTCACAAAGATGAAATATTTTGTTTTTCAGTTTAACTCATGGATGGCATTGTGTCTCAGGGCTCTTTTCATCACTGAAAACAATCTCTGACACCTGTGATAATTAGATTGCCAGGTGAGCCCAATTAAAGGAAAAGCTACTAAAGGAGGGTGTTCCACATTATTAAGCAGAGCACCATTTTTATGCAATATGGGGAAGAGAAAGGATCTCTCTGCTGCCGAAAAGAGTGAAATAGTTCAATGCCTTGGACAAGGTATGAAAACATTAGATATTGCACAAAAACTTAAGCGTGATCATCGCACTATTAAGAGATTTGTGGCCGATTCAGAGAACAGACGGGTTAGTGCAGATAAAGGCACATTGAGGAAGATTTCTGCCAGATCCATGCGTCGGATCAAGAGAGCCTCTGCTAAAATACCATTATATAGCAGCAAACAGATATTTGAAGCTGCTGGTGCCTCTGGAGTCCCACGGACATCAAGGTGTAGAGTCCTTCAGAGTCTTGCAACTGTGCATAAACCTTCTATTCGGCCTCCACTAACCAATGCTCACAAGCAGAAACGGCTGCATTGGGCAGAAAAATACATGAAGACTAATTTTCAAACAGTATTGTTGACTGATTAGTGCGGTGCAACACTGGATGGTCCAGATGGATGGAGTAGTGGATGGTTGGTGGACGGCCACCCTGTTCCAACAAGGCTGGGACGTCAGCAAGGCAGTGGCGGACTTATGTTTTGGGCCAGACTCATGGGAAGAGAGCTGGTCGGCCCCTTTAGGGTCCCCGAAGGTGTAAAGATGACCTCTGCCAAGTATGTGGAGTTTCTGACTGACTACTTTCTTCCCTGGTACAGAAGGAAGAACTATGCTTTCCGTAATAAAATCATCTTCATGTATGACAATGCACCATCTCATGCTGTAAAGAATACCTCTGCATCAATGGCTGCTATAGGGATAAAAGGAGAGAAAGTCATGGTGTGGCCTCCATCCTCCTCTGACCTCAATCCTATTAAGAACCTTTGGAGCATCCTCAAGCAAAAGATCTATGAGGGTGGGAGGCAGTTTTCATCCAAACAGCAGCTCTGGGAGGCTATTCTGACATCTTGCAAACAAATTCAAGCAGAAACTGTCCAAAAACACACAAGTTCAATGGATGCAAGACTTGTGAAGCTGCTATCAAATAAGGGGTCCTATGTTAAAATGTAATGTGACCTGTTAAAATGTTTAAAAAGTTAAAATGTTGTTATAAGATTGATTGAAATAGCTTTTGATTTCAGTAAATATGCTGCAAACACAACAAATGACAATTTTCAGTTATTTACAACCTATAAAGTGTTTTGAAACTTACTGTGCATAATAATTTGGAACAGTGCATTGTAAGTTTATGTTTAAAAAAATACTGTTATCATTAGGAATTTTGTTCAATCAAATTTGAATTGCACTCTTAATAGTTGATAACATGAGAATTATGCTGACTGTTAATTACATAAATTATTTAGGTAAATGAGAAAAATATCCTTTGCATAATAATTTGGAACAGGGTGTAGAAAATTATAAAAAATTAAACAAACAAAAATCTATATTTAGACCAGCAGGGGCTAAGGTCTCCAAATTATAAACCCACCTCATTTCTTCCTGGCCAATTTTCTTAATACAATACCTACCCCCACTCCTCGCCCCCCCCTCCAGTCTTTAAAAAACCCTTTTAATTTCTATAAATGGATTGTGAATTTGCCTAAAGTGATAAGAGACACTATGGCTGGCTACCCCTTTACGTATATTATATACATGTTCCCGCATCCTCTTATATAATGGGCGTGTAGTTCTTCCAAAGTACTGCAATTTGCAAGGACATTGTAACAGGTAAATGTCATTATTACTATGACACGTAATATGTTCTCTGATAGTGTATTCAGTCTTTGTTACTTCTGATCTGAAATTGTGATGTGTTCCATTTCCTATTTGATGTGTATTTTTACAACTCAAACACATCTTACATCTATAAAATCCAGTACCTTCCCCAAAGCGGTTGTAAATACCTCGTTTCGGTTCATCTCTTAAATAGCTTTTGACTAAAGAACTTTTAAAATTGGGTGCCCCTCTAAATATTATAAGTGGTTTTTCCGGTGGTATTACCCCTAGGTCTCTATCTCCTTTAGAAATTGGCCAAAATGTATTTATTAATTGTTTAATTGACTTATGTTCAGTGTTATAATCAAAGACTAAGAACATCATTGGGGGTTGTTCGGACCTCAGAGTCATCTTTACACAGCAGCTCTATTTGTGTTTTGTTCTTAACCTCATCCCAAGCCCTTCCCAAAATGTCTTCAGGATATTTTTTTCTCTCTAAATTTATCCAATAATTATTGGGCTTGTGTGTGAAATACACTCTCTTCTGTGCAAATGCGCTTTAATCTGAGGAGTTGTCCCTTAGGGATATTATTGAGCCATGGGGAGTAGTGTCCACTGCTGTACCTGACATAATCGTTGGTGTCAACCTTCTTACAAAAAGTCTTAGTTTTTAGGCATTCCCCCTCAACATAAATCCTTAGATAAAAAAAAAAAAAAAAAAATCGATCTCCAAGGGACTTATATTGGTGGTCAGCTGTATGCCCCAATCGTTGCTGTTGAGGAATTTTTAAAAATCCTTAATACTATCTTCAGTACCGTTCCAAATAAAAAACATATTGTCAATATAACAGTGATAGGCTAGCACCTGTGCCCCCCAGTCATGGTCACCGTAAATAATAGTCTCCTCCCAATACGCCATAAAAATATTAACATAGCTGGGGGTATACGTACTGCCCATCGCCCTTCCACTACGTTGTAAATAAAAAGTGCAAGTATACAATTTTGTTGTATTAAATATGATTTTGCACTCTTGCACAGTGTGACATTGGCATAACCTTTTCCTCACTAACAGATTTTAAGTGTAAATCTCTGGAAATTCCAGATACATTGTCACATCTTTTGCACTGACTCTTGTGTAAAGGTTAAAAAGGTTTATCTGCGCACCTACATCTTTTATTCTATTTTATTTCTTGAGGCATTGTATTTATCAGAGATCCTTGTAGGTTGCTGCATTTATATATTACTTGTTCTGAGTTTGCCTTAGGTGGTGACACTTGTTTTTGTGATTATTTTGCGCGTTTTTACCTCTTTGTTTATCACTATGGTGATCATCATTTATTGTTTTAAGTGCAACTTGCTTTGTTTATTCATATGTTCTTGTTGGTGTTATTGGGTTTGAGGGATTCCGTAGAAAGAGGTTGTGTGCTGCCTGCTCAACAATGGTTTCTCTTTGAGTACTTCTCTTACTATTGTGGTTTAACATGGCTTCACAGTCAAGCTCACTCATCTTACAACTTTTTTCTCCCACACACATACACCTATTTTTTTTTACCCTTACACTACCCTTCCTCTTGTGTTATTATACCTCATCTCATCTAGATTGTAAGCATGTTTGTGCAGGGTCCTCAGTTATTATTAACATTAGTTATTTTAATAAAGACAGTTGAGTTTTTGTTCATTTAAAAAAAAAAAAAAATCTAATCTTTATTTTTACTTAAAACGTCTATATGCCTTTGTTTTGTCCAGAGCTCGAAAATCTAAAATAATTGAAATTAAAGGGTTTAGTTACTAAACAGTGAATGCTGATTAACAACCACAAACTATTGTCATAATTTCACAGCTTACTCTGCCTAGGACAGCCTGCTATATTGATACGGAGGAAGTCCTGTGTCTCTCTCCAGCACGTTTCCTGTGCTTTACAATGTGCTATGAGCTCTCCACCCCATGTTAGGGGAAGAGGAAAGAAAGTAGATTTTGACACTGGACAGAAAGGTGCTCCAGGTGGTTCCAGCAGATGTCCAGCTCCTGGGAAAGAGTGGACATGCACATCCTTCTTGCCAAACTTCTCAGCCCTGGTTTTGGCTTCTTTAGAAAACGTCAAGCTATCATAATTACGGTCTTCTTCTCCTACCAGGAAGAGGATGGGCCCCCTGGCCTTTTCCAAGGGAAGTATGCAGTCTTCATATTCTGGTTTCTTGGTATCTCCCAGTGTATGAGTCAACTCAAGAGATCCAAAATGTGTCACTAGAATTCTGTCTACTTGATATGGAATTCCATCTATTTGTAAATCTCTGTAGCTCAGAGAATTGCCAGTCACAGCATTGGTTCCATTGATACAGACTGTGGCCTTAACCTGCGGCAGATAAGAAGCCATAGCAAGTGCGATCTCTGCCCCTTTGCACACAGCTACCACTCCAACTCCATCCCCCAAAACCTGCAAGAGAGAAATTATTTGTTGCATAAGTCATTACAATACTCTATGATCATACATGAGGTTCCCCCAAAAGTTTAGCTTTTAAATACTCTGCTATGATTCCATCACGTAGTTGAACAGTATGTTGTCCATCTTTTTATAAAATGACTATCAAAATCAGATTTCATAATGTTATTTTACCCATTAAAACCCAATAAAAGAGTGAATATATGTCATAAAATCTAGTCTTACAAGATCATGTGTGAAAATGGAAAGCACATTTCACAGTAGCAGGGATGGACAGAGCAGTAGATGGTAAATAAGCAGAACTTTCCACGTCGTTTAGGATCAAGTACAGGTGTAGGCAACCTTTTACCAGCACTGTGCTAAAAGAAGACTCACAGGACTCTGAAGTCCCTTGGAGTGTCGTTCCTATTTCATATGAAAATGACAAATGTATATGTTGTATACTGCTTGTGTTATGTATGGGTATTATTGGTGTGTAAGTGAGTGGTATTGTGTCTGTTGCTGTGTATGGGGAGCTGCATGTCCTATTGTGTGTATTGTTGGTGAAGGTGGAGTTTTGACCTCTTTTGCTAGAATTTATGTACAGGGGATGATATCTGTAGTATTTGTGAGTTTCTTGTGTGATAGTATGTAGGTTTGCTCCAGACTGAGAGCAAACTGGGATTATTTACTTGTTCTTGAGCCGTACTGGGATCTATAGCGGATTTAGTCTGTGGGATATCCGCTCTCCACTACATATATAATCTGCATACCTTAGTGAATCACGTACCCAGAGTACACCCTCTTCCTATATCACTCATGGGAGTAGGGGAATGAATCATAGAATAGTTGAAATTGGCAGTGGACTAGCATGGAGAGACTAGACAATACAGACACCATGCGTGCTCTGTTGCAAAACCATTGTTTCCAAATGGCCAGTTTGGGTATTATAAATAGTCCATATCTTCGGTGGATCTGTTACCCTATCTGCAATTAAATCATTCTCTCTAGAGTAGACATTAAAGATCATCATGTTGTCACTCATTCATGAGATACACACAAACACCAACACACAATGACCCAATACACTCCCACCTCAATGCCAGGCATACACATACTTACGCACTGCCACACATAATGCTTTGTACACACAATATTACACTGCAACGCACACAAGCATACTGCTGGACACACATACTGCAATACACACATTCACAATAATGTTATTTTGGCCACCCTCCTTTTTGCTTCTTAGCAGCAGGATGGTGGCTTCCCTGCAGTCCATTGGGGGCTGGGCTAATGAAAGTGCTTCTGCAGGATGCTCTCGTCCCATGCGGATTCCACTTTAAAGGATCACTATAAGGTAAGGAACACAAACATGTATTCCTGACCGTATAGTGAAAACCCACCATTTAGGTGACTTGCCCCCCTTTACCCCCTCACCCTTTTCAGCTTTCCATGGGTCTGCCGGGCGCTGGAATCAATGCATCTCTATGAGTAAAATTCAGCGTCCCCATGCAGAGTGTGTGGACGCTGAACGACACTGCTGCCTTTTGTGTAGCACTGAGCCAGGAAGCCCCTCCAGTGGCTGTCTGAGGAGTGGCCACTTGGAAGTGTCCCTAGGGGCAATGTAAACACTACCTTTTCTCTGAAAAGGCAGCGTTTACATGAAAATACCTGAAAGGAGCTATTATACTCACCAGAACAACTACATTAAGCTGTAGTTGTTCTGGTGACTATAATGTCCCTTTAAGAATGCTGGTGGCATCTCCTCTAACTTTTTTTTTATATGGAGTTCCAGCCATGAATGGTTTTTGGTATTTATATTTGACCTTTTTCGTATTAATCATTCAAATGTTTTAACTTAATGAAAAGGATGACTAGAAGGTTTCTCTTTCTGTCTTCCATGTGTGATAATAATTAGAAATAGGTAGGCACACGCCAAATGTTAATAAAGAAAGTCTCAAAAACTAGACAAATGATACTGAGTGCTCACTCATACAAGGTCCCATTCCCAAAGGACCAGAAAGTTACAAATACTACCCAATCAAGGAGCACAGCCATAAATATATACAAAATCTATATTAGATAGGTCCACGGAAAATAATAAAATAATAATAAATATCAATAAATCAAAACAAGAATTCCCATAAAAATGGTACAGAGAAATTGCCAGAAAATTCTAGAATTACATACAAGCAAAATATATTGTAAACGAATTGCTGAATACCAATGTAATAAATGAATAGTTGAGATACCAAATCATAACAACTCACCAATAAATCTATACAGGAAAGGCAAATGCATACCAGACCTAGTGAGAAGAGGGAAGAAAATCAGTCAGCAAGCCCCCAACGTTTCGGCAAGAAAAATGCCTTGATAAAGATGCCTTGGTATTTAGCAATCCGTATACAATATATTTTACTTGCATGTAATTCTAGAATTTGTTGCAATTTCTCTGTACCATTTGTATGTGAATTTTTGTTTTGATTTATTGATATGTATTTCTGTGAACCTAATACATATTTTTGTATAGATTTATGGTTGTGCTTGATTGGGTAGTATCTGTCTTCCATGTGTACCTGGATTTTTAACCTCTCCTCTTTCTTATAGTTTATGGCCACATCTCATTTCTTAGAAATACTGTATCTTCTCGAATCTAAAGCGCACCTTTTTTTGGAAAATAAAGTTTCCAAAATTTGAATGCTCTTTGGATTTGATGGCGCATTACATTTGGGGCGAATTAAAACTGGTGAATTCATACAGGCAAATTGCATTACAGGCGAATTTACACAGGCACATTTGAAAGAGGGTGTAAGAAAGAATAGACTTAACATGTAACACTACAATTATAATACCATCAATGTTACTATGGCATATGGCAATAAACATTTTCATTGTTTCACAATGTTTTATAATAATATCTTCTTGCATAAATACGCATTACATTCGCCAGCAAAAAACTTTTTTTTATCTTCTAAGTTTAAAAAAATGGAGGTGTGCATTAGATACAATGGCGCTTTAGATTCGAGTAAATACAGTATCCACTAGATAAGAGATATTAAACAGATGGCATTCCAGGTGTTGTGGACTACAACCCTAATAACAATCTCTTTACAACTTACTTTTGGGTTTCTCAGTAGAACATTAGCAGCTTCTTCAAAGTATTCTAGTTCCATGATCCCTAGGTAGCTTGGTAGATCATCATAGGCAAAATAAGCCAGAGCGAGAGAAGCAAAGCCACGACTAGCTAGGAGACTACTTCGAAACTCCACCAATCCACCAACGCCCCCAAACATATCAATAACCCCTGGAAAAGGTCCATCACCTAAGGAATACAAATCGACAAATTAATAAATTACATTGCAGACATAAGGATGTATTAAAAATATAATCATTTGTATGTTATGATAGTTTTAGTTAAACTCAAGAAAATTTAGGCAAACATCCTGCACAATGAATATAAAAGTGTGAAATGAGTAGTAAAATAATCTACATATAAACTTTAATGTTGGTGTGAAAGTGAAATAGCAGCAGTCCTAGGTAGGAATCTGTTCCAACCCAAATACCATTAGCATATACAGGGTGGACCAAAATTCAGAGTAGGTTTTGACAGACAAATAACTTTTTTGTTTGTTGCTCATTTGTTTTCTAATTTATATATGTTATAACTGAATCTTGGTAGATTCATCATGGGTAATTTCATGAAGGAACAAGTAAAAATAGTGGAATTTTATTTTCAAACAGCCATGACCACAATGGACAACTGAGACAACTGTTTGGGGGGCAGACAATTTCAAGAAATTCCCAGATTAATTGACTGCCACATTCACCCGACCTTTCAGCTCTTGATTTCTTTCTGTGGGGATATCCGAATAAGCGGTGTGAACAAATTGTGTTCACTTGAGCAGCTCATTGAGAATATCCATGGAGAAATTGAGTGCTAAAGCCTCAAACATTAACTAATGTTACGAACAATGCAATAGAACAAGCCTCACTTTGCAAAGCAGCAAATAGAGCTCATTTAAAATAGGTCATCTTCTGTACCTAGTCAGACAAACTATACGTTAAGCATTCATTGTAATATCACTGACATTGGTTCATTGATAAAAATGTTATTGGCTCCTCAAACCCTACTCTGAATATTGGCCCCCTTGTATATAGGTGTAAGAAGAGTGTCACGCTGTGTGCAGATGTGTTCCGTGACACCATTAGTATTAGTAACATCAGTGCTAGCCTCTGGATACACTCACAGGCTGTATGGTCCCAATCAGCCAGCTCCAACTGGACCTTTTTTAATGGTGATGTTTCAGTGGTACTAATGAGTATCTACTGCTAACACAATGATACTCATAGCCCCTAGTCTGGGGCACTTTAGAATAACTTTTTTTGTCTGACTGGCCATTGCGATCACATAAAGCTATTTGTAATGTACTGTTAACCCCTTAAGGACCATGATGCTCTATACCCTTGTAAAAATCTTATGTTAACAGATCTTATTACAAAATGTAATATTTTATGCATTAAAAAAGTAGTGCTGTTTAGCAATGCTGATGCTTACAAGGAACGATATTTCATGTTGCCATATGGTCTTAAGGGACAAAGTTGTGATTCTAGGCAAGCAATGCTTAGTCCTGAAAGGGTCAAATAAGGTGGCAGAAATCTTGTAATCTTTTAAGGTTTGATACAGTAGAATAATTCTCTATTGATGATTTGGTTTCTGTCAGTTGATTCCATTTGGGTAAATATCTGATCTTTGTCAATACATACATTGTAACAGAGTCCACCTGGCTGTCCAGCATACCACCCGTTTATTGTTTACTTGATCCAAGACTTTCGTGTGAATCACTTATAAAGACGTTCATGTGAATTTAAAGCATTCGTCTAATTATTCCCCATAGACTGTATTGAACCACTCCATTCGGTATACGATCCAAACTACCGAATCACCGGACCACCCTGATGCGAAGTGTGACTTAAATCTACCTCCCGTTCGCTTCATTGAATTTCCCATTGAAAAGCACGAACTCATTGTTAAAGTTCCTGGGTGGCAGCCATTTCTGGAGCCGAACACGAGGCAGCGGCCATCTTAAACTCCCGAACAACTGTGTTTTGCCGTCGAGTGTATGGAACTAAAATCGGACACTCGTCTAAGCGAACACCGCTGAGACCTCCAGAACTAGGGAAGAGACTGATAGAAACTCCTGAACGGCCTGCTGTTCGGTAGTTTGAATCCCACGAACAAGGGGATTCATCCGAAGGCAAACACAGCCCTGTATGGCATTGAGTTCGGGACTTTTTAGACACAAAAGAGACCAACCGCAAGGCCAAAACTCATGGAACTGTTTTTGGCTACTTTTGCCTGTGCGGTCGGTCAAAACTTTACACCTCCATAATTCCCGAACCCCTGCTCCGATCTGGGTGATTTTTGAGTATGTTGTCAGGGGATACCATTTAGGGGTGTACCTTATGTATTTGGGTACATCTAGAACTTGGGGAAAATTGTGTACCTTTTAATTATGTTAAATGTTTACCTGAGGGGACGAGATGTGTGGGTTGTACCTTGTACCCAATTGGTTATTGTAATAATTATGGTGGGTGTCTCCCTTGCGTGGGAGGATTGCATAAAAGCAGGGGTTGTGTGATTAAATATCAGTTCTGCTTCTGATACTGTGTGTCATCCAGTGATTGGGAAAGGTGATGGGATTATATTATCGCTTGCTACGCGGCTGGATTACTCTGTCACTGGATATTCTACTGGGATTATTTACTTGTTCTTGAGCCGTACTGGGATCTATAGCGGATTTAGTCTGTGGGATATCCGCTCTCCACTACATATATAATCTGCATACCTTAGTGAATCACGTACCCAGAGTACACCCTCTTCCTATATCACTCATGGGAGTAGGGGAATGAATCATAGAATAGTTGAAATTGGCAGTGGACTAGCATGGAGAGACTAGACAATACAGACACCATGCGTGCTCTGTTGCAAAACCATTGTTTCCAAATGGCCAGTTTGGGTATTATAAATAGTCCATATCTTCGGTGGATCTGTTACCCTATCTGCAATTAAATCATTCTCTCTAGAGTAGACATTAAAGATCATCAACACTCAGGAGGCAGAGTGTACTGGAGTAATCACTAGCTAGAGTCCTTTTTAGGGGGCAATTATTACATAGTTGAGCAAAGCATCATTGAACTATACCCTAAACATCTTCCTTCATTCAATTCAAGTTAAAGTTATTTTTGGTAACTTTTGGCATAATTTTTCCTCATTTGATTTTTACCAGTATGAAAATCCACACCCACATTCCCCACATGATTCCTTTGGCGCACTTTATCTACTATTCATATTCCCCAAAATACCTGTACTAAATATCTTGCCATCTCCATCTTTTTTTTTTTTTTAAATAACACCTACTGGTTTAATGAATTTTAATGGAGCGTATCTTTGCAGTTAAACAACTAACAAAACTAAACACAATTTCTTACCTGGAGGGAGGAAGAGAGCACCCCGAACCCTTCCTTGTTTTATTTGTATTCTCTGAACACCAGGAGCCACATACCATCTTTCCACGACTTTACTGGCCACAGGAAGCTCTGCAAAGGGGTTAACAACCACGTTTAGATAAAGCTCCAGGTGGACATGGAATGGACTGTTCATTACATCTCGTTTTATCAGCCTTAGAAAGGGGGTGCTCGGTTTTAGTGACCAGAAGAGTCCCATGGGATGAACTCCTTGAAAATCTCCACCAGTGGCCGCAGCGTGATCCAGATCCACGTTCCCCTTGCTATCAGTTTTGTAAAAAGCTCGAGATTGGAACATCTGCCCTTTTTCATCTTTCAGCCAGGCTCTCAGTGTAATTCGCTGGTGAGGAGGTAGGCCCCAAGCATGGATTTTCACTGGCTCATCTGCCAAGGCAACCTCTGGTGAGACTGCGAGACCAACCATCGTCGATAAAATAAATTAGTGCCTCCGATCTAGGAATTGAGAAATAGAACAATAAGCAAGCAAGAGATATCCAGATGCGGATATCACCTATTCAGTGTCAGCAAGGAATGACAGTTGATAGTGTTATAGGAGATATCTGAAAAAATAGAGAGCTAAAATTACTTTTGATTAAAAACCACCATTACAGATGTATTTATTAATATCATAATGGAATTAATCAAGGGTTGCATATCCCTTCTTTTCTCAAATCAAAATACGAAATATCCAATTAATGAATGCAAATATTTAAGGGAAATATATACAAATATTAATTCTTAAACAAATACCACTTATTAAATAGTTAAACAGTTGGGGGGCGGAGCCAGCAGCCTTCCAAGTCCGAAGCATGAAGCGGGAGCTCCACTCAGGTTACTCAAGAATCGAGGCACCAGGCCTTCTTACCTTGTCTCCCAGGTCTCTACGACAGGATAATCGTCTCTGGAACAGAGACAGGATCAAGGCCAGAAATTGTGCGTGAGACGGTCACATAATATGAGTTAGCACACTACATTAGACTACCACCAAAACAAGCCAAATTGGTGGCGATGGACTAATGTTTCTGTGAAGAAATTACAGGGGTATTTCGGTTATTTGACTATTTTTCATGACTTTTTTTATGTATGGGAGTGTCCTGGATCTGAGAGCCAATGTAATTGTGTATTTGTTTTTACTGTGGTTTACTCTCTGGTCCAGGGGGGAGTGCCCCTTGCATGGGGACCTGCATATAAACGCCAGTTGTGGCTGCCAATAAATGAATTCCTGCCTACCCTCAATATACAGTCTCATTTCATGTATGGGGGAAACTGCTGTATCTACCCTGGGGATTGCTATATCACTCTACTCCTCTGGGTTATAAGCACTTGCTCTTTTAAGAGCAGCCTGCTACACTCTCTGGAGTAGGAGAGGTCTGCCCACTGGAAGTTGTATCCTGGTCTTGAGTCCAGGGTGGGTGGAGGACGGCGAGATCCCAACCAAGCTGTAACGCTGGAAGTGGGGACTATAGTGCTGATGGTGTCTGGTGGAGTGCTTGGAGTCCTCGGTGAGCACTAGGAGCATCGATTGGCGGAGGCACCCAGTCGGGGTGCCAGGCGGTGTGCCACATTGAACCTATAAAAAAGGGGCTTGGGGGTGCACACCTAGAACATGCATATGTCAGTAATGGTGCTGCTGTAAAATGAATACAAAATACATATTAAGGAACAGCACACATAGAAAAGAAGGCTACATTAAATCACCTAGCTTAGGAAACAAATAGAAGGATTATACTATATGGCCATATCGTGTTAAGCCCACCACTATGTCACAATACCCCACAATAACCTGTCCCATATCAGTGGGTTCTACAGTCATTTTATATGGGAATGAACATGGTAACAGCAATATTACTGCTTAGACTGCTTCTAGAGACTCTTCAAATTCATGCTTTTCAGTGGTCACCTCAAAAGAGGCACCTAGGATAGAGGAGCAGAGTGGTCAACCCAAAAGGAATCTGGTCCGGTTTCCAATTATACACAAAGAAATAAAAACAAAAATGGGATTTGGGGGCACACCCGGAACATGCATTTCTCAGCAATGGTACTGCAGTAAAGACCAAAATATATACCAAACACAGATTGAAGGGTTTCCCCAGCCCTCCCCTTCCTTCTGCAAATAATGCTCTATAGGGCATTATTAGAAAGGGTGTCCCCCAAACAAAAACTTGAAAATAGTTTTAAATGAAGTTTAATTACCTGGAATACAGTGCAGGGCAAAGTTCCCAGGGAGGAGAGTCAATGGAAGCAGTTTAAGACATATTGCAGTTAACATGTTCATCTCATGTTAAAAATGATTGTAAGACCCAGCAATATTGGTCTAATGTGACGTAGCCGTGCGCTTTTACCACGATATGGACCAATGGTTACTTCAACCCTTCTAACTTAAAGAAAAAAATTAATAATGTCCTTTGGTCATTATTCTAAAGATCCCCCCTCCCAAACACTAAGAATAAATAAAATAAGGTATAATTTAGCTGAAATGTAGCGCCAGGTGAAGGGCGGCCCCTCCTGAACCGACCTCTATTGTCACGCGGTAAAACATTTGATTCAACCGTTTAACCAGCTCCGAGTGCATGCGCACGCTCTGATCCACCAGTGCAATGGGGAGAGGGAGCGGGGAGAAAACCAAAAAATTAAATGGATGGATTAAGGAGTTGAGAGGGCTGCAATGAAGGAGCGAGGGTAGACACAAACTTCTTTTTGGAGGGGAAAATTGCCTTACATCTGTCTCCAGAATGCTGACAACAGATGTAAAATATGCACAGAACTGACTTTAGGAAGAGTCACATGTACCGACACATCCATTCCTTCCTCTGTGACCACTTCAAAAAGCAGAAGCCTTGTGAGATTTTTCAAACTTTTTTTTGCTCATTGCACTGTTCCCTTAATCTGTATTTTTACTGAACCTTGTGTAGCTCTCCTTGCCCAAAGCTACCTGGTCATGCTGTCTCTCCTAGTTTTCTGGAATCTAAGAAGGATCCTAGTAGCCTCTGTTCTACAGGTGACAGTGATTACAGGTGACTTATTCTCTCCAACAGATTTTCTCCAATGGACGTAGAGTAGTACAAATTAAAATTTGATTATTATTATTTTAGAACTACAACACTTGATTATTTGCATATGGATAAAAAAAAATTCACACCTCACAAATAGATATTTATTAAATTAATGGAAAAGTAAATATTAAAAATCCTGAGTTTGGGGGCGGGGCCTGACCACTGACTGAGCAGGACGCAGGTTGAGGGAGCTCCTCAACCTAAATACCGTTCTAAGCAAAAAAAAGGACAATCTACCCTCTAATTTCCTCTGACATGGGCATGCCTCAACAGGGGAATGTAGGGGCAACCTATTGGGGTGAAACCTCGAAGGCAAAGCGTACTCTTGGAGATGAGGGTTCCCTGCGGCCTGTAACTTCCAACAGGGCGGGGGATGCGGACGGTCCCCCGTCCATCATACACCCCATGGACAGCTTAGGTCCCGCTTTCCCCCACCCTGGGCCGGTGGGGGTTATCCCAGCCCCCGCTGGGCTATACGCTGAGGCCCCCCAGACATGCTGGAAGAAGCCGTAACAACAAATTGAGCGCCGAGCGGCGGCACACAAGATGGCGGACGCACCCGCGCCTTTGAAGCGGAACCCAGTGCCGCGTCAAGCCGACCTCATAGACCCACTTAGCCACGTTGAAGAGCGTCTGGAAGCAGCCTTCAACCGCTTTTGGGCAACCTTAATGGACCGGATGAAGCGGGCACCCCCTGCAAAACTACCACGGGTGAGAGCACACACACAAGGCAGGACAACAAGAGACCCTCCAAAGGCAAACCAACCTCAAGGTCAGCAAAACGCCATATCCTGCACCTCCCTGGGTCTAGGGCCACCTGGGGAATACCCCCAACGCACCGAACACGAATGCAGAGAGGATCGACACGCAGACACCTGCCCCAAAGCAGCAAAGCCCCCTGCAAACACCTGGATGGGTGGAACTGGGACTCAGGGAACCTCCGAGTTCATGATAACACGGTACAGGCCCTGGAACGAGCCTGGGATATGGGGAATGCCTCAATCCTGAAATGTTGCATGCCTGTGGACAGTACACATGTGGAAGATGGGTACCCAGCCAAGGTATCGGCTGACATTCCGACTACATGAGCTGGCTGCCAACTAAGCTAAGTCTGACAGAGACTAACCCACGTGGCAAAAACCCAGCGGCACACAAGCAACAACCATCTTATTATTTGGTTTAACACTGTTATTCTTTCACTACGTTTTTATTAGCCTGTCTTACTCATTTTAATTCCACATCTCTCTATCAATATGCCTAGGATTTGTATAGCCTGGTATCACTCGCTCAATAGTTAACCTAGACATGCTCTGCCTAGCCTGTAATTTAAACAATAAATGTGCAGTATACTCGAATGCCTTGTAACTGTTATGCGTTATCCAATTAACTGTCCTGCCCATGCTGTTGGGGCATGGAAAGATCATATGTTAAACGTATGCACACAAAAATAAATAATTTAAAATAAAAAAAAATTAAAAATCCTGAGTTTGGGTTATCAAATAAATTCAGGGTATGTATGTACACATCACCAACAGAGCAAGACAGGATGTGCTGGTATACGCGAAACATAACATAGAATGTAATGGCAGATAAGAACCATTCGGCCCTTCTTGGAGACTTTGTGCAGCCCTACCCCACGATGTATCATACTCCGTCATCAAAAAAACAGGTCACAATACCAATCCTCTCTGGTCCTTCCTTTCTCCCCCTTTAATAAAGTTTCATATAGAAACTTTCTTTCCCCCCCATAAAAGTTTCTTTGTAAACTATGAATAATATAATGAAGTAATTGTATACATATATTTTTATGTATATTTGATTTGTTTTGTATAAATTAAAGTGTACTGCATATATTGATATAAAGTTTAAAATATTCAATAAAAAATAACTGAAAAGAAAGCCGGGTCACTTCACTATACAAAAACCTACAGTGGGGGGCGGGGCCAGGCCGCCGAGCTGAGCAGGTGCCATCCATGCTAGCTCCGGCTCTGAACTACCTAAATACATCAAATTGCAGACCTAAGAGCCCACCAGGAGCCGGGGCAAACTCGTGCATCAAGTGGGGAGAGGCTCAGGAGCAAAATGCAGTAACACTTGCCACGCCACCATCACAATCGGAGCACGATAAGCCCATGAGGCCTACAAGCACGCGAAGACAGCGGAAGCCGTGAGACAAGGTGTCAGAGGGAGAGAGGGGAGTCCTGGCCCCGCCCCCCCCTCAGGCCGGCGGGGGTGATCCCACACGATACAGAGCCCCTACCCACGTGGAGCCAAGATGGCCACTGGATACACATGCTACTGGGAGCCACGCTGGGCCACCTGGGCCCTCCGGGGTGGTGGATCCCACGGACGGACCCTTCCGAGTGGCAGACTGATCGGCGCGAAGCCGGCCTTGACCTCTGGATTTGGTGGTGGTCCAGGGGCAATTGCCCCCAACTCTGTGTGCCCTGTGGCGCCGGGGTGAGCTGGACCCCCCGGCGGACCGGTGGCCGGGGAGACGAACACCGGCGGCATGCATGTGACCGGAGAAGGGTGAGGCATAACAGGGCTGGAGCTCCAGCGTGGGTCTGCAGGAGTTGGGGAGGTGCAGGGGACGAGGGGCCTCCTGACTTTTCAGGGGTGGGGAGCCCGCCGGACTGCTGATGTCCCTGTGTGCCCACAGCACTGTGGAACTTTCTGCTGACCGGCAGGAGCATGCCTGGAGGGAAACAGAGGGGGTTAGCCGCACCGGAGGAGCCGGGGGGCCCTGTAGTGAACGACCAGCTCAGCAAAGATATGCATTCCTGGTACAAACCTGTAAAGAGGCTACGGCAGAGGAAAGCTTATACATATACCTCCCAAGAGGCCATTAACTCCATGCTGGACAATCGCCTCACACCAGGCGCTATAACGCCACCTCCAGTGAAGCGACTCACCTTTTCACGTTCTGTAGATCCAGATTAACATATACCTTGTTACTCTCGTATTTGGACATTGCACCAGTCTTCATATACTTAGGGAACCAACTGAACATTTAGGACACTCACCTTCTTCACAATTTAGTTTTACAACGTACAAGCTCTGTCTATGCTCATATTCTTTATTACTGCCTAAATTTACACAAAGTATGATGACCAGCTTCAGCTATTCCATGTGCAAGTAAAGTGCATCATTGCCATGCCTTATTACCTACATCGGCGCTATCCGTATGGCCTCCTTATAATAAGACAACAAAGCACACAATCCGCAGGCAGACATGAACATTTCAGGTCACTCATTCACGAATAAACACTCCATACAACTCATTAGACACCAAACACGACATACGATTCACGCAGGTGACCATCCCACGCATCAATGCCCGACACTAGCACTGCACTGCCCATATCCGACGCTCTGACGGCTCTACTCTTAAGCTCAGACCGCGCATAGCCACGATCACGCAGCAAGTCGCAATCACACGAGCTAGGCCTTGCCCATTGTCATGAGAAATAGAAAGGCAAACGTGCAAATTCAGGCAAGCTACGCTATGCCTTTACCAGGCTCAGACGGCAAAACGCATACCCTCCTGCCTGACATTCCTGCACCCATTTCATTAACAAGTTAAGATGCCCACATGAAGGCGACCACGCACCCCATGCAGCACCATGCCCGATACTTGTATTTAGCCCGGTACACGGTTCATAATACACTCACTAAGCAACCTAAATGAACGGTTCTGATCCATACTAAAAAACCCACAATAGGCCTCTATACAGGCACACGCACACTCATTATACCTCATGATAGGTCTCTGTCAGCCAAAACTGCACCACTTGCGACCATACGTCCCTCACAATAACGAATCAAATGCGCCATCACATTCTGTAGCGCTGTACAATGGGACTAACAGACATGTAGTTGTAACCAGACAATTGGACGTACGGGAACAGAGAGGTGGAGGGCCCTGCTCAATGAGCTTACATGCTAGAGGTAGTGGGGTAAAGTGACTAAGTGACACAAAGGGTAAAAGTAGGAGTATGAAGTAGGTTGTTAGAAAAATATTCATTGAGGGCTTAGTAGGTAATTTTTGACAGTTGCAGGAGAGGAGTCATGGCGCATAAAAACCTGCTAACAGTTTAATTGATATGCTTTCTTGAAAAAGTGAGTTTTCAATTATTTTTTTAAAGAGTGGAGACTGGGTGAAAGTCTTACAGAGAAGGGAAGGGAGTTCCACAGAAGCGGTGCAGCCCTGGAGAAATCTTGGAGATGAGCATTAGAGGTGGGCGTACGGACAGAGGATATACGTAGGTCTTTGGCAGAGCGTAGGGGCCTTGACGGGACATACTTGTGTATTAGGGAGGATAGGTAGGTTGGAGCAGTATTATGTAGGGACTTGTAAGCAAGCACCATAATTTTAAATTGAGCCCTATATCTAACTGGAAGCCAATGCAGGGACTGACAGAGCTGGGAGGTGCGAGCAGACAGGAAAATGAGCCTCACCGCCGCATTCGTTACAGATTAGAGCGGTGCAATCTGGGAGCACATAAAACCACTGAGAAGGGTATTGCAGTAGTCAAGACGAGAGAGAACAAGAGCATGGACCAGCACCTTAGCCGCACCCGGGGTTAATTAGGGGCGAATGCACGCTATGTTTTTGAGATGGTAGTTGGATGGGGAGTTGGGGTCAAGGATGGGCTTTTTCAGAATCGGGGTTACAGTTGCATGTTTGAAGGGTGAGATAAATGTGCCAGAGGAAAGGGAGAGATTGAAAAATTTAGTGAGAGGAAGAGCAAGAGAGGGAGACCTGTAAATGATTACTGATAGCCACACTGATAAAATGTTCACCCCGTTACTGCTGTCCTGGAACTGTTGATCTGAACCCTTGTTACGCTTGATAGCTGGTTATTATACAACGCTTCTCCACAGCTAAGCTAAGCCTCTGTGTTGGCAAACTCATTTCAAATGTCGTTAATATGCTTGAGTTTATGCTATTCTCAAAAATAAAAACCATTTAAAACAAAAACCTACACTGCTCACTTTAGAAAACTGAAATGTGATTTTCTGGGAAATGTCACTTTACAAGATTGAAAACAATATGTTTACTCATTAAGTATTTTTTTGTTTTTTTAAAACAAACAAGTATTCTTGATGTATTCAAATTAAAATGGAACTTAGAAACTTACTCGTCTTTAGTCTACAAATAAGAGCCTCCCTCTTAGCTCCCTGTCAATCATTGATATAAGCTGTGTCCTTTGCACCTTGCAGTTAGCACAGAGAAGATAAATGAAACAATATATATTACTATTTTACCTCCTCATTTGCAATGTTTGCCCTGACTTTGCCTTAATTTAAAAGAAAACTGGGCATGTCATGTAAAAAAAGGTTAATACAAATTATAGGGGATTTTTAAAGGTTTCATTCAATGGTGTAAATTCTAAAGAATTGATTGTTTCCATTTAGGAATCATATCCTAAGTGTATCAAAAGGAACATTGAGAATACATATTAGTCAGTCATTCAGTGATTGCAGGGAGTCAGTGACTGCAATAGTCCACTCATGATTTGATTTTTGCCTGTCCCTAAAGAAAATTCAAAGCAAAATAATTAGATTTTATTACCAATATGCTAACTGCCTTCTAAATAAATGTCACTGTATGAAAAAGCTGTCTAGTAGTGGTTCTTGAGGAGAGAATTTGGTGACAGATAGGTTAATCCAATTGTACAGCGCTGCGGAATATGTTGGCGCTTTATAAATGCCAGTAATAAAATTAAAAAATAATGCTCACAGTAAAAATGTTATGTAGACTTACGATAACCTCAGGTAACCTAAATTGTAATTAACACTCATCTACTGGCATGCAGTATTTAGAGATCGTGTTACAATGAAATTTATTGCAGTGCAGATCACAATCTGTTCTTTAGAGAGCTCTCAGGAATGCTACATAGTTGTCAGAAGACAATAATGACAATGGTTTGATAACGCAGCATTCTGACTGTGATGTTGACACTATACTTACATTCTTGCAAGAGCAGAGAGAGGGCTGGATAGTTTGAAAGGAAACAGGAAACAGATTTGGAAGATTCAACTTGGATAGGGAGGGAACTGGGCAGAATACATGGTAGGTGGAGGAAAAATTGTAGGACGTCCATGGGAAAGATAATAATAGGACAAATTATCATATATATCTCAAGGCAGTTCGAAGAAGAGTACTGAATGTTGAGATATTCTGTTGATTTCCATGGTGACCACTTCTTATTTTGCAATTTTCCATTGAAATATACATTATTATTATATTGTTTGTAAAGTGCCAGCAAAGTCTGTAGCGCTGTACATCCCGCAGGATCTTGTGGGTTCATTTAGTGAGACCATTGAATATTTGGTAAAAAAAAAAAAGCCAGCAAAGCATATTGAGCAGTCCACAGCAACTTTATAGCTTGCAAAAAATGATAGGAATTGCAGTCAAATAATACACTATGCACATAGCAAGAAACAACAACCACTTGCATCACATAAACATATTATATGTTATACACATTATTATTATTATATTATTTATATAGCGCTATCAGATTCCGTATTGCTGTACAATGGGTGGACTAAGACATGTAAATGTAACAAGACAGCTGGATGTACAGGAACAGAGAGGTGGAGGGCCCTGCTCAATGGGCTTACATTCTAGAGCAGTGATGGCAAACCTTTTTGAGCCAGAGTGCCCAAACCGCAATACATGCCAACTTTTTTTTCCTCAAAGTGTCAACACGGCAATAAAACCTGAATACTGAGATTTAAGTTTAGAAAAAACAACTCGTACAGTTGTCCGAACTAGTTAACATCTTTTGTTTTAAAAGACACAACAGAAAGTTCAATTATACAAATTTTAAATAATGATATTAATAGATAAAATTAAGCTTATACTTATTAGTATCTCCAACAAATTCAATGCATACACACAGCTGAACACAGTCACACACCGACTGCTTAATACATACACACAGTCCGCTAAATACACACAAACATACACATGGTCCGCTGAATACACACACAGTCCACTGAATACATACACACGCAGTCGGCTGAATACACACACTGCTGAATACACACACATATACTGCATTGAGGGGTGCAGTGTATGTGTTTGTGTGTAAAGGTGTGTGTGAGGGGTGCTGTGTGTGGGGGGGTACGGGTGCTGTGTGTGGGGGGAGTAGGGGTGCTGTGTGTGTGGGGGAGTAGGGGTGCTGTGTGTGTGGGGGAGTAGGGGTGTGTGTGGGGAGTAGGGGTGCTCTCTTTGGGGTTTAGTAGGGGTGCTCTGTTGGGAGGTTTAAGATACATGCATATTGAATCAGTATCCCCCCCCTTCATCTTACCTTTGGTGAAAGGGGGTGGGGGGGGGGGGAACACATCCATCCTTGGTGGTCCGGTGGTGGGAAGTATGTAGGATCGGAGCCTGCATGTCTCCTGTCCTCCCGCGGGATGCTGTGTGGGGTGTTTCCATGGTAACACGTGGCAACGCTCCACACAGCTCGAGGGAAGACAGGAGAGCTACTTCCTCGATGCCTCCCCCTGCTTCAGGTCCTGCCGACAATGAAGCAGAGTAGGCGCCTGCCGTTTTGGGCAGGCAGGCGCCTATTCTGCATTGATGGCGAACCTATGGCCACGTGCCCATAGAGAGGGCCCAGCGTGCTACCTGTGGCACGCATGCCATAGGTTCCCCATCACTGTTCTAGCGGAAAAACACACATTATTATATTATTTATTATATTGCCAGCAAATTCTGTAGAGCTGTACAATGGGTGGACTAAGAGACATGTAATTGTAACAAGACAACATTGTGTGTTATTAGTTTAAGCAGACTGTGATTGTCTAGTGTTGTGACTTAGATGATCAGATCACATTTTATGACCAATTTGTGCAGAAATCCATATCATTCCAAAGGGTTCACATACTTTTTCTTGCAACTGTAAGTAGGGGTAATGAAATAGGTTGCTAGAAAAGTATTCACTGAGAACTTAGTAGGTCATTTTTGACAGTTGCAGGAGAGGAGTCATGGGGGAGGGGGATGAAAACCAGCTAACAGTTTAAATTATATGCTTTCCTGAAGAAGGGTGTTTTCAAAGATTTTTTTGAAGGAGTGGAGACTGGGGGAAAGTCTAACGGAGAAAGGAAAGGAGTTCCACAGAATAGATGATTCAATGCATCTCTATGAGGAGATGCTGATTGGTGTTGGCTTGTGCTGGCTCTGCTCAGGATCTGCCTCCTTGACAATCTTAGCCAATCCAATGCTCTCATATGGGAAAGCATTGTGATTGGCTGAGACCACCACTTCTGATGATGTCAGCCAAGCAGGTCAATCAGTGGCAGAGCCAGCAGCAGCAGACTTTACTAAAGGTAAAATTCTACTATATTCAGGGGGGATAGATTGTAGTTTTAACACTATAGGGTCAGGAATACATGTCTGTGCTCCTGACCCTAAAGTGTTCCTTTAACATGTCACAACCCAGATGTACAATAACAACACCAACTATCTACTCTCTGAAGAGCTGTGTACTGGAGAAACTCACACGTCAAGGGCAGCTGTCTACCCTCACCACCATGCTGATAAGAGAAATTTATTTTGACAGCTGAGAGACACTATGGCTGTTTGGTTTGTTTCAACATTTCTATTTTATTTCATTTAATTCTCTTGAACATTTTTGATTTACATTGTAGAAAGTCTTTAGTAATGCCTCAGTTATATGTATATTTTATTCATATGATAGGTGCCCTCAAATGCACTGTACCTAGGATTTTAGTTTAGCATCATTTGGTAGATATGTGCCACAGTTTTGGAGGCTCGACTAGGTGCACAGTGATCAGATCATCAGTGCAGCTTAATAGTGTACAGAAGGTAGCTAACTTATTTCACTATCTTTGATATCACTTTAGGGTGGTTGTCAGTGATTAGTCTTGAACATATATCCTAGTGCAGAGCTGCCCAAAAGGTAGATGCCCAGATGTTTTAAAATTACAGCTTCCATAATGTTTTTCCATTCTAAAGGCATGCAAAGTATCATGGAAGATTTAGTTCTACAACATCTGGGGAGCTACCTTTTATGCACCCCTGTTGGGGTGGACAGGGGCTCTAAAGGGGGACACAGGGTCTATGGGAGGGTGCAACGGGGAAGAATCTGGATGTAAAAAAAATGTGTCCCCATCTTAATGAAGCTTAACTTGGGCCAGGGAGGGGTAAGACATGAGCTGGAGCCTGCATCCACACAGCGCCAGTGAAGTTGGCGGAGGTGAAGGAGGCGTGACTTCCACTGCTCTTCTCCTATCTGCTGGGGAGTCTGGGAGAAGAGCGGTGGAAGTCACACCCCCTCCTCCTGACATCAGGAGAGGCCGGTCGACTTCACTGGCTGCAGGGTCCAGGGAGAGTGAGGTAATTTAAAAAAAAAAAAGGAAAGAAGAGTCACCAGCCAGAGGCAGGGGATTTGAATTTTTGCGCCCCCTCACCACCCCACCCCCCCCCAAAAAAACTGTCACAATGATCTTTGGAACAGTACCTAAATTACACAAATTACACAATTCCCATTTATCCATCAAAACAAAGTCAAATGGCACACTGAACGCAGTCCACTCTTTCAAATACTTAGGGATGATGTTAACCCCAATCTATCTTTTGGCCTCCACATAGAAAAACTTGCATCTAAATTTTATCCAAAACCAGGTGCCCTGTACAGATAAAAATCCTGTATAAGCCCTACAGTAAAGGAAAAGATTGTACAGCAAATGCTGATGCCAATCATTGATTATGGGGATGTAGTATATGCATCTGCATAGCAATCCCACATTAATAAACTCAATACATTGTATAACTCGTTCTGTTGATTTGTGCTACAATGTAATTACAGGACCCACCATTGTGACATGCTAAAGGAACTAAACTGGCTGTCGCTGGAATCCAGACGCACCCTTCATCTTTCCAGCCTTGTGTTTACGAGCTTTTCTGGGAAGCTTCCACCCTACCTGAACAAAATGCTCTCCCTGGCTGTTCCCACTTCCTATAACATCCGATCCAGTACCAGCACTTTAGTCTACCTCAATACAAAAAGAAAGCAGCCCGATCCTCCTCCTCCTACAGAGCACCGCAATTGTGGAATGACCTCCCGCACACTTTAAAATCTTTCCCAAGTCTAAAGTCCTTTAAGAGATCCCTCTCTAAAAAACAGAATGCACCTGTCATGGTTGATTATATATTTCCTACCTGTTCTATGTTAAATTTTGTATATCAATATTGTTTTTTGTATTTTATTGTACCCGAATGTAACAATGCAATGATTTGTGGACCCAGGACATACTTGAAAACGAGAGAAATCTCAATGTATCTTTCCTGGTAAAATATTTTATAAATAAAATTTGATAGATATGTCTGAGTATATTGACATTCTAAGATGTCTTTGTTGATACCTGTTATGTGTTCTTGTACAATAAAGCTTTTTGCATTTTTTATTGGTTGTGCTCCTCCTTTCAGTATTGTCTGAATATTTTAGTAGCCTTTTGGAAATGGGGCTTTTGGAGTGAGCACCCTTATCTTTACTAGTTTTCATAGTCAAGTGTTTACGGCTGTACACCAGGTGTGCCCACCTGTCCCTTGTTAATTTACTACCCAATATACAGCCAGATGTACAATAACACCAACTATTTGAAGCTCATCATAGCAAAGCAAAAACCCTCACCCAAAGACGAGCTGCTATACACAAATATAACTTAATACACAGCTTTCCCCTGAAGAGCACGTTAGCGCTCGGCTCAGGACAACAATAAACCTCGGCACCCTAAAGAGTTCTCTTAACTCTTACAGATGCTACTTTGCCCCCTGATCGGCTTTTTCAAGCTCCAGATCTACACGATATATTTTAGTGAAGTTGCTGGTATACTGAGCCGTTACTTATTGAATACTAATCCAGATAGGAGCTGCCTCCACCTTAGGTACTTACCTTAATCAGCACGATAGGTGCCCTTGAAGGCACAGAATAGGTAATTACCTTTCAGCAGACAGCTAGAGATAGTTACTGCATAGCGAGTAGATTGTCTTGATAGAAGATTAGGTGCCCACGAAGGCACAGCTTAGAACTCCTGCTGAATCACCATCAGCTCCACTAGACAGCTCTCCATTATTTGGATTAAGAGTATTTAATCAATATATTTTTTCTCTGTTGCTCTAGTTTAACTAGCCATCTACATCTCTGGACATAACCCAAGACTGTCTGTCTATTTAATAACAATTTGTTATTCCTCCAAAGTAGCAACTATAAGTCATATATGTTGCCACCTCTATAAAAACAGTCTGGCTGCTTGCTAGCACAAGGGAATTTTTAGTTAACTAGAGTACAGTTGTATATATACTTTTCTCATCCTTTTTACTTTATGGTTTACAAAATCACTAGTTTTTTCACTGTGTGACAACAAACATTTTCCCTCTTTTAATGTATGAAACAAATGACACATTTTAACCTCTACATTTACCTGTATTTACATTCTGTGTGGGCAAAATTCGAATCTAGCAAATTAATACAAAGTAATATGCAGATAAACCCCACAATGCAACAGTAACACTACAGCTAAATGAAAAACAGAGTTTAGAGTCAACTATACACAACGAATCGGAAGTGGCAAACAACATATTTTCCAAAAAGCTTAAAATGTAAGAGCTTTATTAAATTAAATTTAAGAGCAGAGTAGCCAAGCTGAAAGTTTTGCTGACTTTTTCCAGTTTGGCTATTTTGACCCTAAATTGGGAATTAATTTGGAATTCTCACTTTTGTAAATAACCGTGTAAGTGTTGGAAGCAATTTTAGCACATAGAATGTATTGAAAGTCTGAACACACCAGTTAGTCTGCAAATACATAACATAAAACTCCAAATATTCTGCAGGATTTACAGAGTTATTCACCAAATTAATTATAGAAATTATCAACATTTCTAATTAAATTTACATTGATATTTAAAGCCAAAATAGTCACGCTGAAAACAGAGAAGACTTTGAAAGATGAATTCACTTTAAAAAAAAAAAAAAAAAAAACCTTATATTTGGCGAATAACCTTTCAATAAACACAAAGTAAATAAGACAATATTAAAAGCTGCAGTAAAAGAGCTGATCAGCTTATAAGGTGTGTCATAAAACGATGCAGGCTTACACAAATCACACAAATAAAACTAACACAATATATAAAAGTCTCCACACAAACCTCTATGCAGTTAAGTAAAATAACAGGAGGAAAATATATTTACTCTTATATAGGGAGAAGGTAGAGCCAGTGAATGTTGTACTCTGTAACCTACCAGAGGCGGGCTAAAGCTCAGGGAGGGGCAAAGGCAGATTATATTATGGTTGACAAAAAACAAAAATAATTTTAAAGGGACACTTCACTGCCTACAAAAAAAAACAAAAAAAAAAAAACTGTTTAGTAGATGTGCCTCAATTGAAAAAAAATGCATACTTTTAATTATGCACATTTTCATTTAGAGTATATGTAAAAACAGCTTGCAAAAGATGGAGATTTATTATTTGGTTTGCAGCCTTTGGAAGACCTCCCCTTTTTCTTCAAACCAGACTTTCTGTGACTGTCCAATCACAGACTTCCCAATGCAACTCAATGAGAAGTCTTTGCAAGGTGCTCTGAGCAATTGCTGCCTCTTGAGTTAAGCTCCACTGAGATAAAGGGACACTGTAGTCATTATAACCACTTTGTCTCTTTGAATTGGTTATAGTGCCTGGAGTGGCCTGGCACTGTCCCTCCATTCAGTGTTGCACCATGTTTGTGCAGTATGCCACAAAATAAGAGTCCCTGGCCACCCACAGTCCGGCCCCTTCTGTTTGTGTAGCTAAGGCAGAGATTACACATTTCCTTGTTGTCATACCGTCAGTTGGAGCTCTGACAGGTTAAAAGCAGTCAGCTGACACTCTCAGCCAATCACAGCTGCCCATTGCCTCTCAGTGTAATACTTCCTTATTAGCCAAAGCAGCACAGAGGGAATAGACTGCCGTGGACTCTTGTTTAGCATTAAAACATTACAACATTAAAAACTGTTTAATGCTGAAAGAAATGATGGTACCAGGGGACTCCAGACACTATAACCAGTTTAATGAGATGAAGCAGATACAGTGCCTGCGGTGTCCCTTTAACCAAAGCAAAAAGTAACAGGACTTACTGTCTAATTGACAGCCAGGCGGGTGTAACAAGGTTAATTATGAAAGTGACCATTTCTATTGAAATCTGCACTTTCTGTAAAATAAAGAATTGACAGAATTGGAGGGGTTATGTGATCGTGTGAGTGCAGCCGAGCAATGGGGGGTGATTGTGCTATGGGTGAGTGTGACAGGATTGGGAGAGTTAATGTGAGTGTGGTAGGATGAAGGGGGGGGGAGGGTGACAGTGTGTGTGGGGATGACAGTGTGTCACACATACAGGTACACAAACACACTAACGGATCAACGGGCACCCCAACTGGGTACCTCAGTTAAAGGATGCTCCTAGCGCTTCCTGAGGACTCCAAGCACTGCAGCAGACATCATAACCACTGTAGACTCCTTTAGAGAGCAAAACAGGAACAAGCTCTTACAAGAGCTTAGCAGTGAATATAGCAAGAGAGTATGCAGAGCATAGCAATCCCTTGTAGCAGATTCCCCCAATAAGACGGCACTCCAAATTGAGGGTGAAGTAGAACTGACTGTACTGGCACATACAGCCTGTTTTATTCACATTCTACAAACACAGTACTGCCCACAGGGTTTTGAAGAACAACCAATCAATACGTACAATACACTCAGACACTCCACACAAAATCCTCCCCTCTGCCTGTGATATAATTACTGAACACAATGGTCTAACTTAATTATCACAGGCAGGAAAATACACAGTTTTACACAATATTCATAATGCTAAAAGTATACAACACATTCACATTTTCAGAATCAGCATACGCCAAATACAAACATACATCAGAATCATACAAATTGGTTCAGTGGGTCAAAAGTTAGATCAATGTCCTTTGTGACCAAATTAAGCATGGCTTTTCTGCCCAAAACCAGTTCCACAGAGTCTATCCTGGAGATAATTGAGAAGTAATCCAATTATCTCCAAGGACAGAGGCAAAACTCCATCAGCCACATGGTAGCAAAATACAATAAAATACATAAAAATATATAACTGTACAGCGATTGCATAAAACAGATACATTCAACAGATCCCCAGATAGCTTAGATCTGAGCGCACATTATTACTGAATGGCGCTCAGATCACATACATACCGTACAATTGAGCCAAAGTCTTTCACATAGACTTTCGTTATACGAATGGGCTCCATAGCATAGCTATCTGGGGTAACACTGCTCACATAGGGAAATTACCGAATGACCCAGCTTTCGGGTCTTTGCAGGGGAAAAATCAAGCATTTCAACATGGGGCCATAGTCACAGTGCAGGAGGCTGGCAATCAGTCTTCTCCAATGCCCAGTGGCGAGCCTGGTTCCGCCACACACACTAACACACATAAACAGACAAACACACACTGGCATACATACAGATACACACAATAACACACATCCAGATCAATACACGGACAGATATGGAGATACATATTAGGACAAGCAGATAAATACACAGACACATATACACATACAAACAGATACACACATGCAAAATGTACATTTTTAGCCACCCTCCCATTTCCTATCTTTTAGGTGTATAAACTTAGGTGTATAGACTTCCCTGGGGTCCAGTCGGCTGGCTGAGACTGTTGGGAGTCAGACGTTCTCACTCTGCCCCTACTGCTTCCTTCTCTGTGGTCTGTGTTTGCTCGAAGGAAGTGACCAGCTTGGGGCCAGTTTGTTATAGACCTGCGATGCTGACCAGGCCCCCCTGTATACACATTGCTATCCGGTGGCCCTAAGTGCATGGTGTGGGACTATATGCCCCCTGTTTTACAGATGTTTTAAACTTAAAAAGCCAGTCTCCTAATTTATTAGTTCCTTATCCTCCCACAGAGCAGATACTTCGAGTCCCCCTTATTTCCATCCCGAATATAAAATTACCAGTTAGAATCCAACTCATGTTCCCCTTCTCACATCAGTACACTGGCACAGTTCTTCCCTGTCCATTTACAGGATGTACCTAAAGGCAGAGGCAGCAGTTTGGTCCCTTGTTATGGACCAAACGAGACCATTTGTAGACTGATGCCCTACAGGGTATATCCAGTAGTTTGTACCAAAGACCATACTCCTGTACATACCAAAACTGGTTATGACCTTGGTCTAAATAAATACGCTATCATCCTAAGGGACATATGGACTTCTCTTACAAGACCTATTGGGTTCTAGGGTTAGGCATTCAGCTCTAACAATACATGATCGTATTTGCAGTGTTGCTTGTGGATTACGCCACATCCGCTCACTGTTTCTCTGCTACACCAAATCATGTGCACTACACTCCTTTTCACAGGCCATGACTTTCAGAAGTTAACTTCGACAACTGGCCTTTACCTCTTACTCATCCTTCCCCTCTATTAGTCAAGTTATACTTAGTTTTGAAGTACCATTTACTATCCACTGAAGTATGCAAGTACATATGTCCCTACTTCCTTCCCTGAGCGCTCAAATATCCCAAGTTTTTCCAAAGCCTTCTCCAGCAGCCCGATTTGCAGTGTACCTAACTGGACTCATTTGGGAAAGGACTGCCTACCCATAGGCAGGGTCTGGTGTACCAGGCAGCATGAAGACCATCTCTGGCAAAGGCCTGGGATCACAGGTATTTTCAGGGTCTCCTTGATTCTTTGAACCTCGTCATACGTACCATACTGTGAGGTCTCGACTACATTATCAGACTACTCCACCAACTCCCTGGTCATCCGCCTACATTAACCTTCCATACTCGTCACACCTGTTCTAACAGACATGTCCAGGTGGTCAAAAAAAATTTCTTTCTAGTAAGAATGGGAAGCAACGTCCATTTACCAGATTCTGTTAATTCCTCTGTTCTACAATTGTTACAGTGAGATCTTGCCACATGAGATCTACCGCCATTTTTAGGTCACTGGTTCTGGGACCTGTAGTCCAGTTGCATCGGATCTATTGCTCTTTAGTATTCTTTGGGCTCTTACTCATCAGGTGTTATCACTTGTACACATGTTCTCAGTGTACATAAAACGGCTGCTGATAAATTATCCCACTTCAAATTTCAGGAGTTTTTCCTGGCATCACCCCACAGCAAACAAACATGCGACCAAGGCCTCCTCATTTCAATAAACCCAATCCTAGACTAGATGCTCTCCTAGCGCACAGGAAGACTTGTCCCAAATGGGATTGTCAGATAACACCAGGGAAACTTACAGAGTGTTCAAACGGTTTTCCAAATTTGTGGCAGACTTTCATATTATAACGAGTTTCTATTGAATCATAGGTTTTCAGTATATTTATAATCGGCAGACATTTTGTGTTAAGACAAATTAAAAGTGTATATTGCCAGTCACTCTCAGAACAGAGGTGACTCCATTTTGTATTACAAGGCTAAGACAGACACAAGATTTCTCTCGCTATCACTATTCATCCAAAGTCTGTGCGAAGGAATGCGACTTATGTAAACAAAACCTAAGATATGGCATGATGTCTAACAGCGAAAGGGGGATGGAATGTAACTAACCCAGAGACAAGTGTATACATAATTATATATACATATACACACTTTCCACTTATAACTTACTATATTATATTACTCATATTTAGTATGTTAATAATATAGACTAGTCATGGATAAATATCAATGAAGAAAGATCATATTATTTACTAATGCTGGTGGAGTATAGATAATCAAACACAGTACACACAAGAAAACCAGACATCAAATGACAGATAACACTAAGTATTTAATTTCACTTTCTAAAAAAAAAAACCTAACGGAACATTACTAGTGGGGAGAGAGTGACATGGGTGGAGGACATGAGGAGGGAGAGAGACACGGATGGGTGGAGGACATGAGGCGGGAGAGAGACACGGATGGGTGGGGGACATGAGGCGGGAGAGAGACACGGATAGGAGGTAAGGGACATAGGACGGAGACATGGATGAGAGGAGGACATGGGAGCGAGATATGAATGAAATGGGGAAGGACATGGAAGAGGAACAGAGAGATGGAATTTGGGGAGAGACATGGATGAAGGAGGGAATGAGATATGGATGGAAGGGGAACAGAAATGGAAGTGGGGGAGAGACATGGAAGGAAGGGGGATAGAAGCGAGCGAAGCGGAAGTTTGCAGTAACACCTTACCCTGCCTGGAGATTGCAGAGGGAC